GCTCTTCCCTTATCGCCTAGTGATTTGAACTGTGATTCCCACACTTTCCTTCGGTTACAAAAGAAGTATCTCACTTGCCTCATTTACAGTGGTTTCTCTTTCCTTTTTTTCTCTCAACTGTCTAGTCATCTAATATCTTCCGATGTTTCATATTTGTATATATCCCGCTTTGCAATGCGAATGTGCCCTAAACGGGGAGGATTGCTCATGAAATAGGACTCTTAGTCAAGACGCTTTTGTATTTTGCAGAATCGCGTGCATTAGCTGAGAAATATATTTCATTTTTCTTGAGTTGCAACAGAAATTCTGAAAAGAAGGAGGGAAAGTTTCTCGGCACCCTTCGGTACAAAATTTTCCATTTCTCACGTGCCGGTGTTGACACATGCCTTGACCTTTTTCATGGATCAAACCTTTTACAGGCAAAACTTTAACCTTTTCATAAAAACCTTTCATGAGAGTGCTAACGGTTATGTATGCAGTACAGTAAAATACAATGGAAATGGTGCAAAATACAAAACTTTCCACTCATTTTTTGTATTCCTCGAAACGCTCATGAATAAACCCTGTTTCTATGTTCCATGCATATGCCCTTATAGCTGACGAAAATGCGCTCAAACTCCTGGTCAACCTGCCTGGTTTGAAATGAATGAAATTACTACTATTTCCGACTAAACAGGCTGCATTAATCACAAATGAGGCTAAATGGGGCCGCGACGGGTTCCCCGTCGCGCAGCGAGAGGGCAGAGACGCAGACGTGTCAGCGGACGAGCAGGCGACTTTGCGTCTACATAGAACGGACTATAGCATGCCGCACATCACAAAGCACCGCTGCGACTCGTCCGCTGACACGTCTGCGCGACGGGCCTCTTGTCGAGTACCCGAAACGTTGGGGCAGGGTCAACCGTCGCTTGTGGCCTACTTCAGAGATTTCAGGACCTCTTCTCAAGGGGCTTCAACCACCATCACCTCCTGGAGGAATACACGAGTTTTGTGGCCATTTTCTCCTCCATACTATCGCCATGACGGTTGCTATGATAGTCTAAGATTCTGCCACAACATGACACACTCGTACAGCATCTTAGCCTGTCCTCCAACTTCCCACCCGAAACCACCGGTAGAACCTCAACAAAAACCTCCACCCAAAATCGCAAACCCGACACCCCTCCAAAATAGCAGAATTGGCCGTTTTGCGCAGTTCAATCCATATACCTTTGTTCCTTTCACTGCTCAACAGCGACCAATGTATCGAGTCTGCCGTGTGTGCCGTCAAGCAAATACCGAAAAACATTGTATTACCTGGTGAGACTGATACCTCATAGTCAAGTAGTCCCATAGGGCGATTTTGAGTGCATTAGTCATACAGAATGACGATATTGCGTTCGGAAACTAAAAACCAGCCCTGCTACACGGTGACTGGATCGGCTACGGAAAAGCGGAGATTTTGATGGACTTGGCACCCTGGGATTTCAAAGCAATTGCCGCCATCTCGGTTGAGAGTCGGTCTACAGACCTTTGATGCGGCTGCGGATGAAGGTAGTTAGTCATCTCTTTGCAGAGAATGTGATGGTTGCACTCTTGTTGTGGTAGCAGTGATTCACACGAACCTATGTTTAGTTGATGCTGATCTTTCACTGGACTTCAAAATGCTTTATAGGAACTCCCGAGTTTCAATACGACTTCGAAAACATAACGACCACTGTTGGAAGGAGAACCTGCAGTTTTTACTACCGTTTTTCTGCTTTGCCTGCCTTTGCTGTCAAATCCTTCAACGTTCACCATCGCGGGGGGGGGGGTAAAGGGTGAGGTAATTCTAGAGGTTTCGTGTATTTGAACAAAAACGGTAACAGGCTAGAATCAAGGAAACGGACCTATTTTAAATGTGCATTCCGTGGTGATCTTTTAAGTTCGCGACAATCTCCTGAAACGTACCAAGCTATTGAAAAGCTGTCTCCTGCTAGCAGAGGCGTCATATGTCGTTATTGCAACAATAAATTCTCCCCTAGCGAATACGCCCCTGTCTGCGTCTCTATTGTCTCTGTCCTCTCTCCTACCCTCATCGCCAGGCTTTGTAGTAGTACATAACTGGGCCGTTAACTCCTTCATTATAAAGAGAGCTTCATTCTGGGCATTTTCGACAACTGCTTTTTTCATTTCCGGATAACATACTGCCTATGGTTTCAAAATTGAACCCCAGTGCCGAAACCCTTTTTTAGCGAACTTCGGGTGACTGACGATCAAGGGCCTTTTTGTCATTTCCTATAAATCAAAGGGGAGGAGGGGGTGAGCTTCAACGAAAATTATCCGTAAGACTTTCCCATGGGTGATCGAGCAGAGAATGCAGTCAGTGCAAATTTGCTTACGCATTGATTTGAACTTTACAGTAACTGTTTTTACTCTTCGCTGAAAATAGCGTCATTGATAGTCGGTGTTTTTCGAATTTTTTGATGACCTCACACACTACGTTCAGAGAGTGAGCAACTTTGTTCAAGAACTTCATGATCGGGGTTTAACCCGGTTTTATTTTATTTAAAAATGGGAGGCACTTCTATAACCACTACAACAGTTACTATGCAGTAAGTCCAGCTAACCAGTCAATCCTTGGCGATCGGCAATTCGATATCAAGCAATGAAATAGCTTTCTCCACTAATTGACTCCAGCAATTCCTACTGTCAACACTTATGCCGACAAATTTTTCTATGATCACTTGTGAAGATGAGGTGCATGGCGCATCTTGAAAAAATTGGGTATCATCATGAACGTATCCCCTCTACTGTGTCGTCCCAAAACAACAGATGTTCGAAATCCAAATTTGCATTGTCTCAAAGAAAATCGCCGAAGTTAGATTATAGTTTTGCATTCAAATGTTCGAAATAAAGGCGCATTTAAGCTGAAGATATCAATAATAGCTTCCGTGAGTAAGGTAGTGCTATCCACAGAGGCAGAATATGTGCTTTTCCTGGGCTCTTGAGTGTGCGATAGGGGCACTAGAGCCTTGCCTCTGCAGCATTTGCCCACAATGGAGTAGTCCAGGCGGCGAGTGTCGGTGTTCTCTCGTCTGATGAGCTCTCTCTTCAGCGCCCACTGTCTTTTCGTCGTAGCACAGCCGCCTAGCAAAAACGGTCTTCTCCCAATTTAGCAGCACCTTCAGAGGGTCTTCCCTCCTTTTTCTCCCCTATGTCCCACGTTCATTTTTAGACAACTAACGATAAGCCCATCCAGTATCTTAAACTTCATTTTCTGGATTCTTCTTCTTGTGTCTAACTCCTTTGAAAGCATGGAAATAATCGGCGTGACTCAAGTCTCATGCCAGTGTTTTAAGCCGAATTTGTTGTTTGAATGCCTTTGTCATTTAAGCCTCAATTCTGAGCTACTACATGAGGTGCTCTGTAGCGGACTGCTTAGATGCTGAGGGGCAAACCGTTTATTCGGTGATTACCACTGCTCAATTGGAGTCTGCATTTTTTACATTGTGATTTACACATCTGATATTGGTCCGTAAAGGACAGGAATGATTGGCATGTTTTTACAGGGCGATTTTTACTTACCCGTACGTTCACACTGGTCGACGTGACCAGATGGGCAATACTAACTAGGCTAGCATTTCATTCTTGTTACAGTGGCTTACGCTGTTTCGAGTAGTGAGATTTTTCGTGGGCCGTTTTATGGCTAAACTTTTCCTCCAGGAATAGGAATAACTGTACTCAAATGGTCAGGGATATATGATCATGATGTTTGAGCAGGCGGCTGCAAGCGAGAACATACAAAAGAAGGCTTGCAATAGTAATAGGTAGCTTCAATTGAGAGGTTCGTATGTTTGGATAAATGTAGCCCGTTAGCTAAGTGCCGCAATGGGAACTAAAGAGGCAGTGGCAAGTGGCGGCGCTGTCGTACTCATGGTATGGAATCGCCCTGGATCAAATCTCTCTCGTTGGTTTAAGCTCTTGCGTTTTGTAATGCCCTTATGGGAGGCAAATGGACGTTGAGGTAAAGTTCGAGCGGGTATCACACAAATGGAGAGCGTGAAATCTCAAACAAAATATTGGGCTTCATTGCTTCCTATCTCTGCATAGTGCTATAATTCCCAAAGATAAAAAGTAATAATCACATCGATGCACTTGTAGCTGTCAATCAGAATCCTTCTAAGAGTAGTTCAACCTCTCCCGTTTCTGATACTTTATTCAATCAATTCCAATTATTTGGTTCGTCTGAAATTTTGCAGGATTGATTAAGTGCGATTCTGCGATTCAGATCATTGGCCAATCGCTCTCGCACTAGGAAAAATGGGTTATCACCTCAGGCCCATCTGCTATTATTGTGGCGCGTGAACGAGACTCACTTAAGAACCAGCGCAAGCCGTATAGATTAGAACACGCCTCCTGTTGCGGCACCTGTGTCTCACCAACCAAAATGCTCTCTCGCCTCAGTCTGCCGTTCTCTCACCTCGTTCATAGTGTGCTTCTTGAACTGCTTGCCTCTCAGGTTCAGAGGTTTTAGGCTTCTTTTTTCCTGTTCTTTACTGGCAAGACATATAGCACCTATTGTGTTTTATATTTGAACACCATAAACGCAATTTGCGGTCGCGAAATGTGACGTTAGTGCAATTTAAACCATACAGGCACATGGAATTTCCTTTCATTTCTGTCTTTCCTTCTTTCCGTCTAAGGGCACGTGCGAAACGGAAACTAGGCTACTCTTTGTTCGACCCCACATAATAACAGACAGAAAAAATTTCTCTTAATCATGTCAGGAAATCAAACATTATTGTATTTGTAAAAAGTATACTTCATAATTCCCTGTTATACTGCTTGGAAATTTCAAAAAAAAAATCAGTTTTGATTGAATCAATCTAGTGCCATCCCGGGTCCATTTATCCGTGATTTTCCGCTTCTATGAATACCCTGTGAATAAAAAAATAGAAAAAATAAGAATTCTGTTACAGTGTATCTTCGACGAAGAATTCGGTCTCCTCCGCCACACGAAGAAGAAAGCCTCAACGACGATGAAATTAGAGCAGATGCGCCTCGCTCGAGAGCACTGTCATCCGAGGGTACTACTCGACTTTGTCCCCATACTCAAATGGCTACCAAAATACAGTGTCAAAAAGAATCTTATCAGGGACATCATCGGTGGTTTGACCGTCGGCATTATGCATGTCCCGCAAGGTTTGATAATTGTACACACTTTTATTTATTCAAAAGTTCTAGCAAATGGCTTGAATTAAGTGATGAACTGCTGAAAAATGAGGGCGCAACCAGGGTCAGTCGTCGCGCCCGCACTTTTCCAAAAATTTTGCGACCCTATCCCTCTTTATTGAGGTCCCAAAAATGATGGAGCTGTGCTGATGGAGCGTTTTCAAACAACAGTGACCGCCGACTCGGTCGCGCTCGCCGCAGCCACGCCCCGAAGGGTTAAGAAAGTCACGGAGTCGATCTCCCCCCTTTAGGTCTTGATGCGATTTCCCACCACCACCCCTGGGACCCCCCCCCGAATACCACACCCCATACCTACTCATACCTACCCCTATCGCCGCCATAACCATCATGGCTGTTTCTGTTGTATTTAATAATAAGACCAGCCGACACACCCAACTTCGCCCACTTTTTACTCTAAAGACACTCTCGAGCGCGAGACGTGGAAGATAGGCGAATCGGTTTATGAAAAGCGGCGATCCACTAATTTTGTCTACTCTGCCCTACTTCTATGAAACTTTCGCCAAACTCATCTAAAAACCCGTAAAATACAACCTCCTGTACAACCTATTTACACTTTTCCAGAGGTAGTTTCGACCTTGCTCAACGCAAAAATGCGCCCTCCCCCTTCCCAAAATCGCAAAAGCGACCGCCTCGTTCGAATACCGCGAACGGACGGTTGACCCAGCAACTACACGCATGGCGTGGAGCTCCCTGGCGTATATACGGCTATTTTTGAGGGGTGTATTCACCCAGTGACTAGCCACCTCAGCTGCTGGTTTCTCAGGGTCGGGGCTTGCTGTTTTAAAAGGGATTCGGAACACAGCGTTTCGGTGCTAACGTCAGCACCGACGTGCCGCGCCGAAAACGAAA